AGAAAAAAAACTTCAAACTTCATGCGTTTCATATTTCTTTTTCGCTTTGGGAAGTGCCATTGTCAATCGCTTTGTTATATGAATGCCATTAAATAATATAGAATTCTGTGTTCTTTGAATTCAAAAGTACCATTTTCTCATTTAGAAACATCGGAAACACCCTACTGTACATATTTATATTGGATCACACAAGAAGAAATCATCATCATCAACGGTTGTGTGCAATTGTCATCATTTCGAAATTGAGGGGTAACATCGCGTGGACCGAAGAACGTGGGGAATTCAAATGTTTTGATTTTGCAAACGCAGTCGCAAAACATTGATTTGGAGCCGACAAAAGCACGTGCTTTCACAATCGCATGCTATGCACACCATGCATTATTCAGTACAGTCGGCTTTCTCATGCACAACTAAATACGCATATTTTTATATTAATATTCTCAAGGGGAGTTTTTTTTTAATATTTTTTTTTATTTATCAATTAAAATAATTAAATTGAATTATTTTTTTTCTTAAATTTCATAAACTTTCTCTTTCCACGAAATAAATCAAAAAATATTTGAAAGTACCTGTAAAAACGAAATAAATTATCGAGTATTCAGTAAAATTCATGAAAATGTGGACCATGAAAATCACTACCATGATGCGGTCAATGATTTATTTTTTTATTTAATTTTTTTCAACTTTTTACGCGACGCAAAAACTTTTCGCTCATGAAGTCGGAACACACTGAATTAAAAAAAATATATAGGATACAAACCCGACAACGAATTCCACTTGTGTGTAGCGATCGATGAAAAATGCTGAAAGTAGGAAAGTAAGTCAGTACATCTATTTTTGCAAACGAGTGTTCAAGTGTTGTTCGGTTCAACAATCCAACGGCACAAAATATTATGAAAACAGCGAGAACGGAAAACAGTCCTTCACAGTTTTTTTAATGCATTGCATGGTCGAAAAACGTAAGCTACCCATACCCAATGCAAAGCACATGCTTACATTTCATCATCAAATGCGCGTGTATCAGCAGCTGAACCATACGTGAATATGAATGAACTGAATCGGGTGCGCCGTCGTTATCGTTATGTTTGCGTACACAAAATCGGCAAAGGAAACACATAGAATAAATCGAGTGAGAAGAGAATTAATATTATGGAAATGAAACAAAACTAAACGAAACTGTGAACTCTAATGCGTTGGCCGAAACGCTCAAAAAGTGGATAACGAAAGCGAATGAACTATGCAAAAAAAGCTGGTACGATGAGAAAAAAGTCAAAACAAGAGAAAAAAAACAGTACTACACAACAAGTATTCTTTAGTCATATAAGCAGATTATACAGTTGAAGATATATGAATGGCAATGCAGAAAATAAACATTTTCTCTAAACAAAAATATTCCTAGAAATAATGGTGAAAAAGTTTTTCAGAGCCAACCAACGGCATTTGAATGCCAAATGCACCTACAATGTGAGCGAGTGGACGTCGATTAGTTCTCGATTTTAAAGTCGAAAAATTATGTTTTGAATCGGAACAACTTTGTGATGATTTGGCTTAACGGTTGAACGAGAATGCAAGAGGAAGTTACCACTGCACACGAGACGAGAGATATATATGTGGTTGATTGAAGAGAATAGTTTGTTTTGAATCAATAATCAAAAATGCATTGAAATATTGCTGCCGACGAACTTTTCTCCATGCATCTATCCTTCATTTGTATTCCCTGTGTATGAATTAAAGTAGTGCACAGCAGGAAAAAAACTCCAAAGCCAATATGTGGAGGAAATGTCTAGTTTATCCATCACTTGGAATAACATAACTGGTTAAAATGGACTTTCGAGAGAGTATGAATGCAGTGGCTCTTGTTCACACAGACGCATGAACAGCACTTGAGCCAGAAGACAGAAAATGCGAGAAAAAGTAGCGAAACTGGGGAACAAGGGCAAAAAAAAACGTACACCAAAATATAATTTGTTGAAGCGAGTGGCCGGTCCGGTTGCAGTAATCACTCACTGCTGTTTCACTGAATGTCGTTGTACAAGGTCGACATTTGCTCGGGCGCATGAAGGAAAATCGAAAAAAAATAAACAACAACAAAGCATCATGCAGATCAAGTGCTATCAGTGTCTACCGGAAGAGTAAAAAACATAGCCAACGTGAGTGAGATAGAGATTAACCAATAGAAAAACCGAATGAAAATAAGGCAACCAACACATGGACAGATAGATAGAGAGAGAGAGAGAGAGAGAGTGTGTGTGAGGACACTGAAATAGGAAAGAATGTGCTCCAGTTTATGGGATAATAGACTCTTCCATAATATACTTAAACTTATGCTCATATATTTTGTATAATACACTCGACAACATTAAATTGGATGAAGTGCATTAAAGTTATTATAACAGTTGGACGATGTATATTTTCCATGTGCGATGTGTTGCCGGGGCCAGCTAGCGCGCGATGGACGATGATATGTTTGAGTTTGTGCGTGATGTGCCGAGGTGGAGACGGATGGAATGGTCTCGTTTTGGTCATTCAAACAAATATCGGGTGATAAACGAGATACGACAAACACACAAGCACCCCCATCGTTTCGGCCGAAAAACTTAGTCGTCAATGACTTCGAGAGCGGGCAAGAGTGAATCAAGCAAGTTTTGCAACATTTGCCTAATGGTTTTTGAAATGATTGCAACTAATGTATGCGCCCTCCGATATAATGAATACTTGATTTTGATTGCATGTGCTGCTGTTGGTGGTGTCTTCATATCGCATATGCGGGTTGAAAGTGGGCACAGTGTGTAGATTTTATACACATTCAATGAAAGTAGTCATGAATTTTCAAGTAAATCGTGTTTATTTCATCAGTCAAGCAATGGTCAACACATCCACTCACTTAAACACACACATACACAATTGAAATAGATTTGAAGAATGTTGTTTGGCCGACCCGCATCAGCACGTATGAGTTAGTATTAAATAACACTTGCAATCTTGAGTGGCTGTCGCATGTGTTGGCAATTTTCATTTTATTTGTCGTCGTCAACATCAATCGTCAATTTTATTCGCGACAATCAAAATTATGTAGTATTTGCTCATGAGCATCGAATCATCAAACCAAATGCCATCCGAATGCACTGTCATCAACAAACACAATTTTTATTATTATATGCGCTCACATTATACGCTTCCAATCGATAAACGAAATGATTTACTTTCAAACACTTCATTTCGATTGTTTTTATCTTTTTGTATGTGCATTATTAAATTGGTAGCATTTAAAACATCAAAATTCAAGCGGACCACTAAAAGAAATCTGGTGACGAAGCAAATAGAATACGATCAATACGATGACTGCAGAATATTTACGAAACTTGGAAATCAAACAGCACAAGTCGACTGTTTAAATCACTAAACACAAAGAATTTTGAAAAAATTTATCAACAAAATGAAAACACATGCAAATTAGGGGAAACTGAAATTAAATTTTATTGTTTTCTTTTTTGTGTTAACAGTTGTTTGATTTTGGGTTTTTCGAATGACCTGATCGGTTAGAACGATGTTCAGTATGATAAAGGTACCGAACCTAGTGCGGAAGCAGCACTTCCAGTCCTATAAATATGCAAACCCGTTCAGTCTAATTTTGTCAAATTTTTATTGAAAACTATCATATTTAGACAGTTTCATGATTGAAATTGATAGCGGGTAAAGGAAGACACATCAATTGTGTCATTTGGATCTTTTTCTTCGTCTTTCTCTGTTGTGAAAGAATGACGATTATTTCCAATTAGTAGAAAACAAAAGAAAAGGAAATAAAACGTGTTTATGCTTTACTTCCTGATTTGATTATGTTATTCTAAAAATCCTAAATTTTAACTTTGTATCGACAATTTTTCTGAGAATTTTTATTTGTTTGTGAATTCTTTCTTATCAAATGATTTTATTGTTTTTTAAATGGATAACAAATTGTGACACAAATAATGTGTGAATAACACAACTGGGGCGGATACGATAAGCTGAATTCTTGTAAAACGTTAAATTTTAATTTGTTATTTCCGTCAGAGTATCAAAAAGATTATCCGAATCTGCAAATTAATAAGTATTCAGCACTATATATGAATGCTTGAGATGTAATGTCAGCGCCATATAAAAATTTAGATTTTTGTATAACGTTATTACACTTTATTGAAATATCTAGTGAATTCTCATTCATTCTTGAAAAATCATCACCAATATGATTCGGGCATATATATCCGATGATTTCTCTTTGTTGTTCAATTGCGTCAAAATGTTTTGACACAACAAGCAATTTTCAAAGAGGAGCTTTGCATTACCAAACGATGAAATTTTAATATTGCATTGTTAAAACGTGCACTTCATATCAATGTTTTTTCATACACAATGTGCATTGGCCTGGGTCATTCACGTTAATTGTGAATCATATTTGTAATTATACGATTTTTCTGAGAAAATCTGAAGATTATGCAAAGAAATGTTGAAAATAACTTAATCACAGTCGTGTTTAGTTCATTTATTTTCTTTTTGGTAAAGGGTGTTTCAAATCTTGCCAAAAATCTCAAATATTGTATCTCCAATTTTATTGAATCTTACACCCATTGTATTTTACCAACGACCAAATCATAATCTAATCATGGGTCAAAGTTTGAGTCTTTCGTACCCACGGGCGAACAGCAAAAAAATGCCGACGAAATGATTATTTTTTGTGTATAAACGTATGATGAAAACATGCCAATAAATCAGTCGACAATTGTGATTGCGTTCGAATGAATCAAAGTTGACTTGAACAAAAAATAAAAATGAATTTCAAATTATTTGCCATTTTTATTGTTATTTTATTCCTTGGAGTTACATTCAAAGTCTCCATTGTCTCTGGTAAGTTGATTAGTTGAGGAGTAAATCTATGCGAATAGTCCTTTGCAAATCGAATAATTTTATTTATTTTGTATTAGCTTGGTTCACATCCAATAATAACAACAACATAAAATGTTCCGAGTTGGGTATATCTCAAAATTGTCGCAGTTACTGTAAACAAAGCAATTACAATTATGGTGAATGTGATGCACGTAATAATTGTGTATGCAATTAAATAATCATTCCAAATAAAAGATTACGAATGACCATATAATATGTTTTATTTTTGTTTGTGTATTACACAAAGTTCGTATGATTAAAATTGTATGTAAATTAACATGTCAAATATTCCAATAAATTGATAGACTGATTTGCACAGAAAATACATATGTTACTTTTTCTAGTTGATAATATGTTTATTCTTTAATTTAAATCGATTACTGTAAATGATTATATTGCATCGGCATTGACAAACTTCTCCAAAATATTTCTGAAGAGTTGGAGTTTAAAGCGTGATTCTTTTTAAAATAGATTCAATGAATAACACAAATGATATATTCTTCCCGCTTGTAACAATATTTGCTGAATATTTGATTGTTTTGAATAAAATAACACGATTATAGTCAATGTTAAATTCAGATGACTAGTGTCCCAAAGTAATCGCCTTTGATTACTTCAAAATGTGTATGAAAAGCAATCAACTTTAATCAAATTAGCCAGCTATAGTTGAATTACTTCATACTGGACTGATTGTAGACCACGTTTTTGCACACGGGTGCTTATTGAGCAGCCCACTCAATACCAAAAGTCTTCAAAAACGTGTAATTTGATCTCTCCAAACTCGGGGGCAAAATGTACGTTTCATATATAGCATACAAAACGATAAAGCAACTCGAAAAATAAACTGGTTAATATAAATTGAATAACAAGTTTGAAGCGTTAAACGAGAGTGAATCAGTATAAAGTTGGCGATTCATTCGAAAGCATCAAAAGTTACTTGAGCAACAAGAATTAAAATGAATTTCAAGTTTTTCATTGTTTTTGCTGTGGTTCTATTCTTGGGAATTACATTCCAAATCTCTCCAGTTTCTGGTAAGTATGAATTTAGTGTTGTATATTAAAACGCATTAAAGGCTTCACTCTTTGTATCATCAATTTGTAACATTTTCTGGAACTATAGTAAAACAATCAAAAATAAGAATTTATCCAAAATCATTTTAACAAACATTACGCCGCATCTCAACATAAAATCAGCACACAGCAAATGGTTACATTGAAATGAAGAGCAAAATACATTCCAACTACGCCGTACTTTTACAAAAATATCATTTAAAAAATCACACTTAAACAAAACATTATAATTTGATTTTTATTTTTGTTATTAATGAATTAATTTTTTTGCTCTTTTTTTCATTTATTCTGATAAAAAAAGCCGGAACGAGCAGCAATAATAGCAATCAAAGGTGTGACCAGTTATCTGTATCACAAACATGCAAATCTTTCTGTGCACAAAGTAACTACAAATTTGGAGACTGCGTACGTGGATATTGTCAATGCAACTAAACCATGATCGATATTATAATGTCGTACGTATATTGTGAATTTTTTAACAAAACAAAATAAAGAGTGTAATCAACTACAAACTTGTTTCTTTATTTCATAATCATACAAATTTTATTCATTAAATTCGTAAATAAAGTGTGTTGTATGGCAGAAGTATAATGTTCATGTAGAATAATCAGAGTTCACGACTTTTAATATACTTTTTTTTGCAATTCTGGGATTGTTTGTCTTAATCCACTTTGATTTTATTCTCAAAACAAACTCAGAAAAGATAAATTCAAATATAATATGTATGATTTGGTTTGGATTGAAGCATAAGTGTGTTCTTTGATGATTTTTTTTTTTGAATTTTGATTATATTTAATGCTAGAAAGTCATAAATTATGTTGCCAAATAGAATTCTACTGTAATGAAATAAACCAAATTGTTTTTCGTTTGAATTAACTGATGAAATTGACTTTCGAATGAAATTAGATAGAAATCAAATCAAATTTATTTGCATCAAAATAAAATCTATACAATTAGCAACAAATTGTAATGAAATAGTTGAAAATGGTCATATTTGAAATAAAATGAGTAGAAACTAATCTGTATATTTATTTCCATTCAGTTCACTAAGAACTTATTGATGATTCTGCTTTTTTGACATATAAATTGATTAAAAAATTGTATGCGAACAGATTCCACTCCATTTTCATTCTTGAGTCTTGGTTTAGAGTCAACTTTGCGATCTGAGCCAACATATAGGCCACCACGGTATAATCAAACTTAAGGCGTTCGCCAAAAATGATAGACCGGATTTAGGCATTGACTTAAAATTCAAACCAAAATCAATTGTACATCTCAATATGTAATTGCTTTATTTTTGCGACATTTTTTCAATTTTTCAGTGAAATTTGAAAGCTGCTGATGTTTTTAAAGGTAAATATATGAACCAATTCTCCCTGAAATGGCAGTTTTGCAATATTTATTTAGCAATGTACCGACATCAACATTCTCCGACAAAAATATGCAAACTTATTCAGCTTAAATTGCAATATATTTTACCAAATTGTTGTTGAAAACTACCATATTTCGACGAGTTCATGCACAACATAACCAGACGTTAATAGTTGCGGGCAAAGAAAGAAAGAAGACACATGCATAAATTGTGATATTAAGTACTTTTTCTATGCGTAAATGGGTAGATGAGGTCTTCAGCGCTAGCCACCCATAGTCAAAAATTCAGGTAACAATAAAACTTAAACTCCTTTAGTTATCGAGAAGTTCAATTAAGTAGGACATTTTGGGGGCTGACGTCACTGAGCCACTCAAATGTGATAATAATGTTCCTCTTTCAACGGGATACCGTAATAAATTTTCGCATAAAACTTTGCCAATTGCAAACTTTCACCAAAAAAATCTTTGTCAGCCACAATTATACATGTTATCGATTCTATCTCTGCCGAGTCCTCGTTTTTAGTGTTCATTTTCACCAGTCGCGTCACACCGAAATTATGCCCCATAAGAGACTGTATAAAATGCAAAACTATAGCACTGCTAGCGCCACTACGGACAATTATGGAGTTCTAGTCCGTTGGTTGCAACTGAGAAAATGTCTTTTCACTATTTGGCGGCAACTTAGTGTAGATTACATTGAATTCCGTCGTGGCGCTAGCAGTGTGACAGTTTGGGCATAATTTCGGTACGAGTCGCGTAAAATGATTTTTCAGCAACAACAACAAAAAATGATGCGATAAAATATACAAGCGAATATGCTGATGAAGCGCGAATGCATCGAACAGTGTTCCTTTTCGAATGATGCATTTTCCCACCAGATGCGTTCACCGATACAGCTGAAGAGGAAGAAAAAAGCGAACGAAAAAACACCGAATTTATTTTATAAACTATTCCAATTTTCGGGTGTTATGTTAATAAATCAAAACAAAGTACCATTTAAGTAAGGTCTGTGAGAAAAGAATAAGCAAGCGCTCCAAACCATAATTAGTTCTCGGTCAAATGGAGCAAATAAGAAATGAACGATACAAATATTTGAACGAAACGAAACACTTGCCAAATGGAATGGCAACATCAGCGAGGTGGCGGAGATGGCATAAGTGGTGGCAACACGAATGAAGAAATAAAAATGGCATTAAATTGAAAAGACACCAGGAAGCATTAAATGATATGAGGAAGTAACCAAGGCAAAGTGTTCATAGTCTGACTCATGCACAACCATTCTTCCGTCCATAATTAAATAGAAATTCTAACGGCACAACTGAGCACACAGCAACGCGACATACGTTTTCGATCATTTAACTTTGTTTGTATCTTTCGCATCCGCCTCGAATCGACTCTAGTAAAGGTATCCAAGTGTGAGTCGAATTCCTATACTTTGACACTTGCGTTTGATAGTTTATGTCGAAAAAAAAATCATTGGCCAAATTCAACAAAATTCGGAATAAGCAGTTCATGAGTGGCATGTTTGACATTGGGTAAAAAAACGCAATAGAATTCTAGAAATTCGATTCACACTTGGATACCTTTACTAGTTTAATAAATTGCATAATAACTGCATAAAACAAGCGCTATCTTTGTACGCTCTTCATCTCTCACACACAGTGTTGCCTGCCATTTGCCATGCCTCTCTCGAATGCTCTAGTG